GGGCAGGGGGGGAGGGAGAGAAGGGGACACAGGACATTTGAATGGAAAAAAATGAAAAAAAGCAACAAGCCACAAAGAGACAGAGGGGGAGGACAGGCGGTACGGGGAGGAGGAGACGGGGGAGGAGGGGAAGGGAGAGAGACAAGGAGGGCGGGAGAAGTCAAAAACCAACACAACAAAGTGAAAAGAGAAATGAGAAATGGAGTTTTGTAAGTTTCGGGGTTAAAATAGCAGAAGTTTCAAAAATTACTCACAGGGTCCAGAGGACAGAAATCATAATCGAAACAAAAAACGGAAGCCGGGTTAAAGGAAAGCGAAAGGCAGCGGGCAGCCAGCAAGGCATGAGCCGTAAGGACCAGGCTGGCCGGAACTCAAACGTGATCCACAACCAAAGAGGAAGCAGCTGCAGGCAGGGAGGGACGGCAGGTGGGCAGGGGCTGGGGGTCAGAGTAGGGGACCAGAGTGGCGGGGGCCATGTCCACCCCTTCCCGGGCCCTCCTTGGCTTGGGAAGGAGCCCAGTGGTGGGTAGGGTCAGAGGTCACAGTGGGGAGTGAAGACCCTGCCCAGAGGGCTGTGGGATGTGCCCCCCGCCTCAGGGTCCCCCATGTTTGGGTCTGGGGCAACTCCTGCCACACCCACCTGCCGGTGTGCCATGTGCTCTCGGCCCTCGCTAGGGGAGCGGGACCAGCGCTGGTCCCGGGTCCGGGCTCGGTGGTCCTGCCTCTCTTGGGCATAGCGCTCCTTGTCAGGGGGTGGGGGGTGGTGGTGGTGGTGGTGGTGATGGTGCTGCCGGTGCTTCCGGTCCTTGGGCCGGCCCCGCTCCTGGTCCCGCTCCTTCGGTGGCAGGTCCCCGGACTGGGTGGTCATGCTTAGGTCTGTCCCCAAGCCTGGGCCAGACAGGGATCAGACAGGGAAGGGTAGGGCAGGATATGCACACGGGAGACCAGCAAGGGGGCGTGTGCATAGAGAGGGGCACCTTCCCTGGACCAAGAAGGGCTTGATGGGCACTGAGGGTCTGGTTCCCAGGCTCCTGTGGCCCAGCTTGGCCCCCTTGGTCCCATCTAGGCCTCCCCTTCTTCTCTCTGTGCCTATCCCCCCATGTTTGCTGTTCCCCTCTCCCCTCCCCTGTCCCCTGGTAGAGCCTCTGGTCCCTGGGCCTTGAGGGGCAGCCCACCTGTGTCCACGTCTGTGTATCGGCCCAGGGAGCGCTCGGAGGCGCGGTGGCTGCGCTCACGGCGCCGCTGGTGGTGCCGCTGGTTCTCCTCAGGCGGCACCCTCTCTAGGGAGTAGTCATCCAGCCGCCGGGCCTTAGGGCCCAGCACGGAGGCTGAGCGCTTCATGGGGCTGGTGTCTGAGATGGTCTGGGGGGGGGGACAGGTGGGTGGGCTGGGGTCAGCAGCTGGCACCAAGTGGTCTAGGTCTGTTTTGCCCCACTGGCCATCAGTGATGGTGTGTGACCATCCGGGAGCAGGATCTGAGGAGGGGAGGGGCTTGACTCCTGATTAACCAGGGCCCTGGGACACCTCTGTCCTCCCCCAGCCCCATCCTGGGTTCTGGCCAGAAGGCTCCAACTGATTCACCCTTGCTGCTTCTCAGGACCACCCCTGGGGGTATCCCCCAGCATTGGGGTCCAGCCAGAGACATGCAGGCCAGCTGATGAGAAGACCTTTCCCATCCAGTGCAAACCTGGACCCGGGCACTGGGCAGCATGCCCTGTCCTCACCCCCGCCTGCTCTTTTGGAGGGTGAGAAGCCTTGACTTCCATGGCTGTCAGGCATATAGGCTCAGGGCTCGGAGCCCAGCACCCCAGCTCACTGTCTCCCTCGGCCAGCAGGGCTCGGGCTTTCTTGCCCCCCTGAGGGGCTGCCCTGGCACTTGAGGTCCTGGGAGACCTGCCTTCTCATCCTTGCCCCACAGCCTGGGAGCCTGTGTGTGCTGCACCCCCGGAGTCAAGCCATGGAGAGAGGGGGGCCTTTGGTTCCCTATAGCTGGAAGAGGGGAGGAGAACAGGGCAGACACCCCTTAGGACCTGGCCCAGCTGAGTGGCTGGTGGCACTGCCCGAGGCAGGAGTTTTAAGGGCCATATTGCTGCAGGACCAGAGGGTCAGGAATGGTCAGGAGAATGAGAAAGAGTGGGCCAGGTGTGGGGGGAAGGTCAGGATTCTTGGAATGATGGACCCCCTGGCTTGGGGGCTCTGAGGAAAGGGGGTGGAGGGGGAAGAGGGGTGGGGCAGGTCCACCCCGCCAGTGCACACGTGGGGCACACAGAGAACACAACACAGGAAGATGGGGCTCCATGGGGGAGGGGACGTGATCTGCAAAGAAAGGGTCTGGGTAGGCAGAGATGACAGGACTCCCCTGAGGGGGGGTGGGCGGGAAGAGGGGGCCGGAGCCCAGCTGGGCAGCAGGCGGGCTTGCGGTACATACACTGAGGTTATTCCCACGTGGCCGGCCCCTTCTCCTCTGTCACAGCCCCATGGGATGGTGCACACAGAAAAAAACAGAAAGAAGAAAATAAATATAAAAGCTGAGAGAGGGAGTGAGCTCGAGTGAGAGGGAGGATGGAAGGATGGAAAGAGAGGTTAAAGTCCCTGGTGAGTGGGTGACCCCTGATCCACCAGCAGTCCTCCCAGAGGCACAGAGGAGACAGACAGGAGATACCACAGACAGACAGATGGCAGAGGCAGGAGACAGACAGATGGGATGGCGTGGCTGCAGGCCCCTGCCCCCGGGCTCTGCCTCATGCAATGCCCCAGCCCTGTCTCCAGCTGACACTCAAAGCTTGTTGGGGGGCGGGGGCTGGCCATCAGCTGGGTTTGTCCCAACCCCCTTCCTGGGGCCCAGCAGCTAAGTCTTGGGGTGGAGAGGGAGGCTGGGGCCAGGCAGCCACATGCAGGCTGGGTGCCCCCCGCCCAAGTTCCCAGCAGCCAGAGGCCAGGCCCCTGGGCCACCCTGGCCCAGCCAGGCACAGCGCAGCCTGCCACCCCGTGCAGATGCTTTGGCACAGCACACAGGCAGCCTGCCACAGTCAGACATGCTGCCCTGCCTCTCGGGCTGGGTGGGCAGCCAGCCATGCTTCTGGCTTCTGACCCCGTGGGTCTGGAGCAGCAGGATCTGCATACCCACCCACCCCCAGAGGGCCCTGCAGCTGAGTAAAGCAGCCACGCACAGACACACATCAGGCACACGCCACTGCCCCTCCCCAGTGGCCCCCACAGAGACCAGACAGGATGAACCCCAGCTGTCCCAGGCCCTCCCCACACTCTGCCACCAGGTCCTACAACCTGTCAGGTTCCTGAGAGCAGACCCACACATGCATGTGTGTGCATGTGTATGAAAACACGTGTCTACGTGTATATGTGCGCACGTCTGTGTGTGCGTGTGTGCTTGTAGTCTCATAAATCACCTCCCACATTCCCACATGTGTCCTCCACATCCTCCCACCTCAGCACCCACAAACAGGGCAGCGACAAGCCACTTGGCAGTGGTTACCACACTCTGCCCCAAGGGAGCCCCTTTCTCTTTGCCCTTCATTGGAGGGAGCTAAGAAGACTAAGTCCTCCAGGTGCCCCAGGTGTGGCCAGGTGGGGTCTGCGTGCTGCTGCTGAGGGCACAGGAGACCCCGCCCAGGCCTGAGTTCTGGAGGAAGGAGATGCCCTGGGCTGTGGGATGCAAGGCCTCTGGGGCACAAGTCCCACCACAGGGGGATGGGTGAAAGCGCTCACCTGGTTCTCCGCGGGGAGGCGCGGCATGGAGGTGGCCCTGGCCTGGCCTTCCATGGGGAGGTAGCGCTCGCTGTCTGAGTAGCCATCCCGGCCCATCTCTCGCATCTCCACAGACTGCGGGGCAGATGGCAAGGCTGGGTGAGCCCCGGGGCTAGCTGCTAGGACCCCAGGGACAGCCTGGTGAGTCTGGAACTGCAGGCAGAGGGCCCAGACCCCGCCCTCCTGTATTGCTTGGTCCAAGCCTTTGGGGCAGTGAGGGTACAGAGGCACCTGAGAGTTGGGCTGGCTGTTGGGCATGTCAGTAGGGGGCCCCCGCTCCGGGCTCCATGTGCCCGTCTTCTGGAACATCTCTTGGGCTCGCTGGGTCACCCAGGAAGGGCTCTCCTTGATGCCACTTTCGTGAGCCATCCTGCATGTGGGACACAGGCCAGCGTGGCAGTGGGCACTTCGGGGGCTTCTGCATCTGGGACTGGTGCCCCTGCCCCTCCGTCCCCGCCTCCTGGCCGGAGCCACACTCACAGGCCTCCTCCTGGGTCCAGCTGGGTGGAGGGAAGGGCGTTCTGGCCAGGCCCCCCCTCCTGCGTTGGTGATGGGGGCTCCATGCGCTGGAACATGAGGGGTGTCCGGTTCTGGGGAGGCAGAGAGGAGTATGTGTGCACTGGATGGGGGTGCTGTGGAGGGGACACTAAGCTCACCCATGGCTTGAGTCCCAAGAAGTCATTCTTGACACCTCCCAACATACACACACACACACACACACACACACACACACACACACACTCAAGTCAGATCCATCAGCCAGCCCACTAGCCCCTTCTTCCAAATCCATCCAGAACTGGATCACTTCTCACACCTCCGTGGTCCCCATCCAGGTCCTGCCCCATAATCTCCCACTTGTACTAGAGCACTCGCCTCTTCTCAGGTCTCCCTGCTCTAGCCCTTACCGCCCATGGCCACCAGAGGGCGCGTGTGAACACCTGCTTGAGGCCACTTCCCTCTACTGAGGAACCCCCTCACTGGGAGCCAAAGTTAAAGTCCCCTCCAAGGCCCCCAAGGCCCTGCATAACCGTCACCTCTGCACTCTTGTCTCCTTCCACTGCCCCTCTTGCTCCCTCTGTCCTGCCAAACGACCTCGCTAGTCCCCAAACTTAAACTCACAGTCCTGCCTCAGGGCCTTTGCACTGGCCGTTCCCTCTGCCCAGAACGCTCTTTCTCACGGTGCTGTGTTCTGCCATGCTATATAATTTAGTCATTTGTCATTGTCGACATTTCACCAACTGGGATTCTGGTCTGTTTTGCTCACAGCTGCACCCCAGATCTGAGAACAGCGCCCAGCACACAGTAGGGGCCCAATTGAGTGTTGGCAGAGCATATGAATTATTCCAGGCCATGTCCCCTTGGTATAGCTTTACTTTTCAAAGATCTGCCCTGGGCCTAACCATACCCCACTGTTCTGATTGGTCCTCATGGTGACAAGAAAGCCACTCTCCCCCAGCCTGGGTGACCTCAGAGAGAAGGACACTGGAAGGGAGCCGTCAGGGCCCAGGCCGTACCTGCTCCTCTCGCATGGCCTGTAGCTTTTTAGCCTTGCTCTGCCGGTAGTACTCCATGATCATCATGGCTGCGTAGATCTTCCCCACCGTCAGGTCCGTGGCTGGCGGCACAGAGCGAATGCACCATGGGCAGGGGCTCCTGTAAGCACCAGCTCCCTGACCCTCTGCCTCCTCTTTCCCGCCCCCTCCATCTTGGCGGGTCAGGGCCCAGGGCCAGGCTAGCCTGGGCTCTTACACTTGTGAGGGGTGACCAGCAGGTCCAGCGTCTTCTGGGACAGGTTAGGCCAGATGGCCATCATTTCTTTCCGTAGCTCAGCATCCATCTGCTGTTTGTCGGCCCCTCCTGCAATGTGGGCACAGAGAGGCCCTGTTTGCCTGCTTGGGGGCCTGCAGGCCTCTGGGGCAGCCGCCAACACAGTAGCTCCTGCTGACCCAGTGCTCTGGAGTCCTGGTTCTCTTGGGTCCCAGTGCCCAGTGGTGAATGACCATGGGGCTTCTGGTCCTCGGCAGGGATAAGGCCATGGAATGGCTGTGTGTGGGACAGCCCAGCATCGAGAGAGGCTGAAGGGCCCAGGTCAAAACCTGACTCCCATTTACCGTTCGACTTAGGTATTTTTCTACCGCTCTGTGCCTTACTCTCTCCATTTGTGAAATGAGGATCACAGCAATTGAACCTGTCTCATGAGTCGTTTGACGATTAAAGTAGTTAATGTGCATGCAGCCTTAGGACAGCGTCTGCCATAGGACTTACGCCACAGCAGCCCCTTGGTCTGGGGTGAGGCCCGTGGTAAGCCCCAGGGAGGCTGGGATGCCATGGAGCAGTCTCGATGGGGAGGTTTCGCCCTCAACCTTCTCCTCTCCATGGATGTGACCTTTGGCCATTGCTGATCCCCGACAGCCATGGTGGTCATTAAGGCTCTTTGCCAGCAATTCCTGGTTCCTACCTCTTGAGTGCATGGGAATGTGGCCCATCCTGGTCCCTGTGGTTGTCCTGGGCCATGCGAGGTGTGAGCAGAGTGAGGTGTTACTTTGGGCACTGAAAGGACTGTGAGGAGGCAGGGCCTCGGGGGTGTAAGTTCTCTTTTATTCTGTCATGATGACTGGTGACATTGGGGACAATGGCTGCTCTCTCAGGCCTGGCCCCTAAGAGACTGATGAACAGGGAGCCCCCTGCCAACCCAGGAAGGGCACATGAACGGGAGTGGGAAGTAAATCTTTGTCAGCTTGAGACCATGGTGCTGTTTGTTACGGTGGCACATTCTCATCCATCCTGACTGATACGCCAGCTTACACCTGACTGATACAGGAGCTTCCACTTCTACTTCTTTTGTTTAGAGCCTTCAACCCTGGGCACAGGGGCGTTGTTCCAAACACTTACCAGCAGATATGAAAGAGACATTGATGGCAGATAGAGCAAGGGTCCCAAGGCCCCCTGCTGGGCAAACGTTAACTCTGTAGTTGTTGGATTGTGGGGGGAGGTCCAGGAGATTTGAGGGAAGGGCAGGAGCTACCAGCCACTAGAGAAGTACTTTAGTGTTTTAACAACCATCTGCCGGGGCATGAAGGTTGAATAGCTGCCCTGCCCAGGCAGCCCCGACATCCCTCCATTCACCATCGGCCTCTCCTTGCTCAGACTTCTCCACTCTTCCTCTTCCCAGGTCCAGCCTCGGGCTGCCTCTGGCACCCCTGCCTAGCTTCCTCTCAGCAGATATGGGTCAAAGCACGGACATCTGCCAGGCATTTCGTGGAGCTTTCACTCATCTTCGCCCACGTGACTCTGGAGACAGATGTCTTTACTTTGGGAAAAATCTTTCAGAAGGGCCTTTTCTCAGGTAAAGCTCAGATCGTACTCTGGAGGATACCGAGGTGACGCAGAGTTGAACTGCCTGGACCAGTACAGTCGCCTCTGCTCAGGTCTCCCTGTCCCCACTACAGCCACTAGAGGGCTCCTGTGAGCCCTGTCAGTCAGGCGCCTCCTCTGCTCAGCCCTCCTCAGCGCTCCACCTCACCCAGGGTGATCGCCCAAGTCCACAGGGTCCTGCACAATCTGCTCTCGTCTCCTCTACTTTCACCCTCACTCACTCTGTTCCAGAAACACAGACCTCCTCACTGTTCCTCAAACACGCCAGGCACAGTCCTGCCTCGAGCCTTTGCAAGGATCATTCTTTCTACAAATATCTATGTGGTTTGCTCCCTCCTACAGGTCCATGCTCAAACCCTTTATCTAGGAGGGCGCCTAGCTGCCCTCTTCCCCTTAAAAGAGCCCATTACCTTCTATGTCCTCCTGCTTTATTTCTCTTCTCCATACTTATTGTCTCATGTTGTTGTTTCTGGTCTCACCCACTAGAGGGCATGCTCCACCATCCTGTCCTTTTCACAATTGGTGATGTAAGGGGCTGTGGTCGCTGGCCCCGGCTGCAGGGGGAGGGGCTGATCCGTGGGCCTGGCCTCAGGATGGGAGGTCACGACTACTGTGGAAAACCCTTGAGGAAATCCTGGGGTATCTGGGCTCTCAAGAACCTTGACACCAACCTATGCAGTTTTTCTTTCCTCATGGGAATTAATAGCTATGTGTCCTGTCCACTGCAGCTAAGCGAGGTGCCTGGGTCTCTCTGTGGCTCCTTCTCAGACACACGGGAAGGGAAAGAAGCGAACAGGACATTTCCTATTCAAAGTCACTCTCTCCTTACAGTGTAGATGTTTCCATTTCTAGTGGAGAAAAGGAAGACACCTGGGGCATGGACCGAATTGCGTCCCTCCAAAATCCAGGTCGAAGCCCTAAGCCCCAATGTGAATGTGCTGGGGATGGGGTCCTCGAGGAGGTAATTACACTGACATGAGGTCATAAGGGTGGGCAGTAATCCAAAAAGACTGGTGTCCTATAAGAGAGAGAGACACCAGGGGTGCACATGCCCAGAGGAACGGCCATGTGAGGACACAGCGAGATGGGAGGCCATCTGCAAGCCGAAGAGAGAGGCCTCAGGAGCAACCAACCCTGCCAGCACCTTGGTCTTGGACTTCCAGCCTCCAGAAATATGAGAAAAGAAATTACTGTTGTTCAAGTCACTCAGCCTGTGGTATTTTGTTACAACCACCTGAGCTAAGACACCTGCTCTTGGCTTCTGAGTCAGGTAAGGGAGTCAGGGCAGGGTTTCTCGGCCTCGGTCAGCACTTGTTGACACTGGGGGCCGGCTCACTGTGGGGCCATCCTGTACCTTGTAGGATGTTGAGCAGCACTGACTAGATATCCGCAGCACCCCCTTCCCCAAGCCCTGACAACCAAATTGTTTTCCCCCAGACATTGCCAAGTGTCCTCTGGGGGAACAAATCACCTTAGGCTCTTTCTGCCTCAGTTCACTGGGAAGCCCTGCATTCAGGATTGTCATTCAAATTTAAACAAAGGGAAAATCTTTAGAGGATTTCCAGGTGGCTCTCCGCTGGGGTCTCAAGACTGAACTCCAGGTTTATTCTTTCTCCAGTTACGGAATTATTAACACTAGGGCTCCCAGGGAATTGGGTCCCTCTATAGGCAGGCAACAGTCACCCACGAACCCCTGGTGTCCCAGAGTTTATTGCTCAAGGGCCCTCCCCTCCCCCATCTCATCTGAAGGCCTTTTGGTGAAGGGAGTCCATCAGAGGGTCTGTCTTGCATGCCCTGGGACATTCAGCAGCCTCCTGGCCTCTACGTGCCAGATGCCACTAGCACCAGCCCCCTCTCCCAGTGTGACAATCAAAAAATGTCTCCAGACATTGCCCAGTGTCCTTAGGAGCAGAATGGCCACTGGGCGAGAGCTACTGACTTAGGGTTTATCCTGATTTCACTCCACAATCCCGACCCTGCTCTCTCTTTTCCCACAGTATTTCTAACCCTTGAACACATTACTTTACCACTAATCATCTTTATTATTTGTTGCCTGTTTCCTTGGAGCCGCACGAGGGCTGGAGGTTCCTCTGACTTTCACTGCAATGTCCTCCGTGCTGAGGACAGGGCTGGGCACACAGCAGGCACTTAATGAACGTCCTTATCCGATGACCCGTGGCCAACCAGTTTCAGGCAGAGAACAAGGTACCCTCTTTGGTGAAGGCAGGTCAAAGCCTTTCGGCTCCCAGGAGGCCCACCCCAGAACCTTCCAGGCCATTGCAGACCCCACCCTCGGACAGAACCTGATCTTTCAGGAGATTAAAGGGTGAGACAGTGTCCTTTGTCTGGTCAGCCATGTGGAGTCCTGAATGAGAGTCTGGGCTGGCCCTGAGTGGGATGAGCCTGAATTGGACCCTTTCTAAGACAATGACAAAAGGCATTCCTATTTTTTGAAGCTGAAATCCCCTTGCAACCAGTGGCACACCAGGGCTGAGGACCACACGGGCACAAGGAATGCCAGAAAGGGTAGGGACCTCCAGTACTGGTCCAGGTCCTGCCCGGAGCTTCTGCAGAAGATCTCAGCCTGGCCAATACCTTGATTTCGACTTTGTGAGAGCCCGGTTGAGCCCACCTGGATTTCTAACCCAGGAGCCCCCAATCCTTGGGCCACGAACTGGTGCTAGAACTGGGTAGGAACTGGGCCACATAGCAGGAGGTGAGCGGCAGGTGAGTGAAGCTTCATCTGTATTCGCAGCCGCTCCCCAGTGCTAGCATCACCGCCTCAGCTCTGCCTCAGATCATCACGCATTAGATTCTCACAGGAGCACCGGTCCCTGGTGTCAGAAAGGTTGGGGACTGCGGAACTGTGAGCTGATAATGGGTGCACTTTAAGCTGCTAAATTTGTGGTCATTTGTCTACAGAACTGTGAGCTGATAATAGGTGCACTTTAAGCTGCTAAATTTGTGGTCATTTGTTACATGGCATAGCTAGCTAATACATAAGCTGTCAAGGTTTACAGTGAGGACAAGACAGATGGCAAGATGAGCCCACGGAACATGACTCTGCCATCTGATCGCAAGGAACTGTTGCCCACCCTTCTGTTTCCTCACCTCCTGGGGCAGGACCAGCTCCAATCGTGTGAATGAGGGACCCACCTGAGGCTGTTCAGTATAGACCTGGACCCAACTGGTAACATGTGCTCAGCTGCCTGGCAAATCCGGGCCGCTCGCCTCTGACTTGTTGCATGAAAATGTTCTGCTGTATGCCAGACGAGGGCCTGATCCCTGCCCCCACCCTCCCACACTTTTGCTGTCCTGAGCCTCATCCTCCCTTCCTACGATTCTTTCTTGCTCTCTTCTGTGGTTCCTCCGGCTCCACCTTCACCTGCATGTTCCCCACCTGTAATGGCGTCTGTCCTCAACTCGCTCCCCTCTGCTGGCCAGTGTCCCACTGGAAGTGGATGACCTCCCTCCCCCAAATCCTTCACCTCTCCAGCAACTTCCAGCCTTGGCTCCTCCTCCCCCTTTTCCCTGAAGACCCTGGAAGGAGCCTGTGTTCCTGAAGTTTGGCGTCCCTTCTTCCTGACACCCCAGTGGTTCAGCTAGGTGAGGCCCTGACCTTCATGTTCAGCCCCTGAATTTCTGACTCTGCAGGAGGATGTGTCCAGCCTTCTGCCAGTTCCTTTCCTGACTTCCTTCTCTCTGCTGATTGCATCTTTTCTCTCTGACCTGCTGTCCCATCAGCTGCCAAGTCACATCTCCCGTCAGGCCTCCGAAACCCACTCCACGTGGGGGACCCTGACCCCTCCATCAGAGATGCCCTGCTCAGGGTGGCCAGTGGTGACCTGTCAAGAAATCCACCAGTCACTCTCAGTCCTCATCTTCCCTGGCCGCTGGGCAGCCTGACACGCTGGTTCCCTCCTCCTGGAGACACCCTGCTGCCCAGGTCTCTGCCCGCCTGCCTGGCCATAACTCGTCGGTCTCTTCTAACACTGGCCTGGACCTGGGCTTGGTCTCTGGGGGGTCTCTCGGCTCACATTCATCCCCTTGGAGAGCTTGTCCAGTCCTCCTGGCTTAATTATGTCGGTATCTGATGCCTCCTGACTTTTCATCTCCGGCCCCTACGGCCATGCCACCCTGAATATGCCTGATCCCGTTTGATCTCAGAAGCTAAGCAGGGTTGGGCCTGGTCAGTACCTGGATGAGAGACCACCTAGGAAGACCAGATGCTGTAGGTTTGTTTAAAAAAATAAAAAAATAAAAGACTCATCTCCTCGTTCACCTCGCCTCCTTCAGAACCTTCTCGGTGAGCCCTCCCCACCACTTGAAGTGTAAGCTGGATGGCCCCTGCCCATCCCGTGGTTCCACATGCCATGGCCAGTGCTGCCCTCCATTTGCCCCTAACCTGCCCCTCTTGCTTCTTCCCTGTCTTAGGCGATGGCCCTGCCCCCAAGTCAAGGGTGGCCTTGCCTCCTCCCAGTTGTGCCCTATCCTACACCCCACATCCATTCCATCAACCATCCAGTTGGCTCAGCTCCCAAGAAATAGCCAGAATCTGAACACTCGATACCGTTTCAGTCAGGGTCACCCACCTGGGTTCACCTGGATTAGGTCAGTGGCCTCCACTCTGGCCTCCTTCCCATCTGTTCTCTCCACTGTGGCCAAAGGGGCCTGTTCAGATGAGAGTGGGGTGGGGCCCCTCCTCTTCTCCCGGTGCTGCATGGCGCCCCCCTCACTCAGAGGGCAACTCAGTTCAATGTAGCTCCAGGTGGTGTCCAACCCCAGGGGCTTTGCACTTGCCCATCCCTCTGCTTGGGGCACTTTTCCCCCAGGCATCCATGTGACTCAGTTCATCTCCTTCAGAACCTCCTAGGGGAGGCCTCCCCCACCGGAGGTAGGCTGCCGCGTCCCCCATGTTTAGAGTGGTGGCTAAGACACAAGAGGCGAGCACTAGATGTTTGCCGAGTCAGTGGGTGAGCTGGTGAAGGTCAGGACAGGGACAGGGCAGTGGCCCCTCCACTTTCAGGAGAGGAAGGGGACTCCCAGCTGCCCACGGGCTCTTCCCTCAGAGGCCCCGCCTCCATCCTGCTCTACCCCTCAGCTCCCGCCCCTGTCCCCCTTACCCTTGGCAATCTTGATGTCCAGGGCTGTGCGGATTAGAGCCATGAGGGTAGAATTGAAATGGACGGTGTTGTCATCGGCGACGGGCAGATCCATCCGCAGGAGCCTCTGCACAAAGCCAAAGGCGAGGGCAGTCATTCTCAAGCACCCCTCCCCCTCCCCCATGAGCCAGACCCGCCCTACCCCGGGAGCCCCAGGAAGAACTCTGAAGGCAGCAGCTAGGGTGCCCCCTCCCTCAGGTTACCTGTCCCAGCGCTCTGTTTCCCGACTTCCCCTGGTGGCCCGTCCGGAGGGCCCTGGGGGCTCTCCTATGCCATCAGCCCCTGCCCCTTCCCCTTCCTCTCCCGCCCGCTGGACCCTAGAGCTGGCATTTCTAGGTGGGTCCAGAGCCTTGCCCTGCCCCAGAGTTCTTCTGGATGGCTCCGTTCCGTTCTGACCCCAAAGAAGAAATGCACAAGCCAGCTCACAGCAGACATGCAGCAGCCAGGCAGAGGGGTCCAGGCCACAGCCGCCTGGGGCCGCTGGCTCCCCGCCCCCACCCCCGCTTGGCCCAGATCAGACCAGATGGGCACAGACCACATAATTCCTCTGAGAAGCAGCAGGCAGGCGGCCCCCCCACTGATGGGGTGGGCCCCTCGCAGACATGCAGCGAGGTGGCCATGACACACAGAACGGCAGACGGGCGCATGCAGACGGAATCTCGAGACTCATTCATAGCTCCGTGGAAAGTGTATCTCAGGGCAAGTCTGGATCTTGGCTCTGTGCGATGGCGGGGGGAGGGGTGAAAGGGGTTCCCGTGGCCCAGGGAAGAAAAGACTCCCGGTGTCCCAGGCAGGGGCTCTGGCCCCCAAGGTTGGTGACATGGGAGAGGGTGCCGGGTTGGTATGCACCAGCCCAGGCTGAAGTGGGACGGAGATGGGGGTTGAGGGTGACTTTGGGGTTCACCTGGGGATTCAGA